AACTGTGTTGATTTTGCTTCTTGGTGTGTTGCAACCTATTTTTCCTTCTGTTTTTAGTCATTTTTAAAGAGCCTTAGCTCAATCTGCATGACTATATTCCATTTACACAAATGTACCCAGCCTTTGTGGGTTTGCACAACAAGACAAAAGTACAATAATGCATTGTTCAGGAGATCGTGTCCACCATCTTAAATAGGCATTCTGTGCCTTTCTCTGTTGTGGTACTAGGACAATGCAAGTTTGGAAACAAAACTGTGTAGAAATTCCATATTTCTTAATCTAAATCTAGAAATATAGAAATATTATATATATAATATATATATACTATAGAAATATCTAGAAATTTTAGAAAAAGTATTTTGAGATGCAACATTCCTACATAGTGTTGTAGTAAAATCATTAGATGTATTTTTTGATAGAAAAACTTAAATACATTCCTAAAATCAAGAATTTTCAATTATATAGTTGTTTAATAATTATTACTAGTAGAGACTTTGGAGAAGGATAAAAAAAATCCTTTCTGCATATTATCAGTGTAAATAATCTAGACACTAGTATTAGTCTGCTTATGACTTGATTACAGAGGTGTAAATTTTCAACAAGACTTGAGTTGAGAAATTTACCTAACAGCCCATTTAGATATTTTTATTTTGTAATAATCTTGAAAATACCTTTAATTTTATCAGACTATTTACCTTCCATTCACAGAACAGCTGGATGGTATATCAGTCTTTTGGCCAGCTTCCTTTGGCTGGGAAATGTGGTGGATTTTATTCTTGACATGTCTTTATTTCTTTGTTTTTTTCTTTTTTACAGAATAAGCCATGCAGAAATGAGTGTCATCTTGCATTTTATATATGGAGGTATTCTGGACTTCCCAGACAAAGTTGATGCTGGGTATATGTCAGCTTTATTATTTTTAATTCTAGTTTGTACTTGTTCTGTATTTTCTCAGTTAAAAGTCAAAAGGAAAATTCTTCATATAGTAAAGGCAAAGATGCCAAATACCATAATCATTACGCATAAACGTACTTGAGGAAATAATAAAGTTGTTGAAGAAATCTTGTTTATTTAATAGCAAATGGAAAAGGTGGGCCAGACATTTTTGGAGTATTGTATAAGCGGAGTGAAAAACAGGAGGGTGTTTAATACAAAAAATTCACAATTTGCTTGTACCTTCCTTCAGAATAATATGTACAATGTGAGCAAATACATAGTATTTGCAATTCATTTTCAAATAACCATTTGATATGAAAGCTAAGTAATTAGTCTTAGATCCATAAAAGATTATATCTAGCAACCAATGTAAATGTTGGAATCTTATTCTGGGATAATTTTTAATTACAGTTTATATATAATCTTGAATTAGTTCTGAAATGTGTAAATTATTGCCTGCAACCTTTTACGTCAGCTGTTGAACTCTGTCTGAATATTAAAACACTACAGTTTCTTAATGTTAGAAATTATTTTTTAAAACTTATCTATGTAAAATAAAAATACGGATCTGTTTCCAGTGTGTCCCAATGTCAGTTTTTAGGTAATGAATTGATAAATAAAACTGTGGTACTAAATATTATATAAAATAATTAACAGTTTGCTCACTGTGCCTTTTAGTATATGGAGGAACATAATTCTCAGATACTGTGTTATCAATAACATTTTATGTAGTCCTTGGAAAAAGCATACAAAATGCCAAAACTCTGCTGGCACTAGTATCTTTTTCACTTGCTAGGCTTAAAATAGAGAAACTGAGTCTTCTAAAGAGTTTATCAGCCAGTGGCTAAGGCTTACTTTTATAGAGACTGGACCTGGTGGTGCAGAGACCATTATTAGGTCAATATATGTTCCTGTTCGAAGATTATTATTTGGCAAGTTTCACACTTGATTATCAATCTACTTCTGCACTAAATTCTGGCTGAACAAAGATAGAGGATTAGCATGTAAATTGTCTTACAAGCAAAATGCAGGTATGAAAATTATTTTTGATTCCTCTTGGTACTGCTTTCTCTTTAGCCGCATGTTGGGCATTGCAGATATGTATGGGCTAGATGGGCTGAAAGAAGTAGCTATCTACGTTTTGAAAAGAGATTACTGCAATTTTTTCCAAAAGGTATGTCAGTTATGCTACTTGGTGAACTGTAAAGCCTAAGAATAATTTTCATTCTATTACTTATACATTATATTGATGTGATACTTAAACTGTGTGGTCAAGGTGTTAGCTTAAATCAACAAACCCTGTTCTTCTGTGTAAGTCTGCTAAATTCACTGGGATTGACGATGGGAGTAAGGCCTGTGGTGTCATCCACCTATTTATAGAAGCTTGCAAACCACAACTTATGAAAAGCAGTATTCCATGCATGGAGTATAATTTAATACATTCCATTGTACATGTAGTTGTGATTAAAAGGAATATAGAAATACTACTTATTTGCATATCAAATTTCATGGGCATACATTTAGAAAATACTTTTTTACATTAAATATAGCTTAAAAACAAAGAACTGCTCAGAGTCGAGCATTTTCGTGCATGAGGCTCACTAAGCTGAATGTTATGTTATTGATGTGTGAAAGGAGATGACATCCCTATTCTGTATAAAGGCAAACGAACTTAAATAGCATAGTAGCTAAAAGTACTTGTTTGAACTGAAGATCTTGTACTGCTGTACAGTTTTAAGGCAGAATGTGCAATAACTGTGGCAATTTGCTAAAAACTCTAGCCTGTTCCTGGAAAACAGCAACCTGTACTAGAATGCATGGCTATTGCTCATTCATTGGGAGTGGAAAACCTGTATGCTGCCTGCATGAAGTAAGTAAAATAAATTACTGAAATTACTTCACTTTGCAAGATTGGGGAGAAGCTGGCATATAAAATGTTTTCTTTTTTCTTTTTTCTTCCCAACACTTTAGAAGTATCACTGATACTAAGAAGTGAAGATAGGTAAAGGAAGATGAAAAATGTTCTAAGAAAAACTTTTTTTTTTTTTTTCAATAGATGGGTAGGAAAACATTTTGCAAAATGTTTGTCAGAGAGAAGCTTTGCCAGTTTACCTACTGAACTTCAGAACAAATGTCTTGTTATGTTGATTAACTCTTTGGTAAGTACTGTATCATGTGCTTTATATAAAAATAGAGCAATGTGATATTTTTTCCTTATCTAGCTGTGCAACACAATTGAAGACAATTAATTTGGTTTATAACACGTAAGTTCCCATTTAAATAACAGATGTAAAAACAGATTTTGATGTGCAGATATTGTTATGCTTCATGTCACAGTCTAGTGATAATCACATGTAAGTCCAGCATAATAATACAAAATAAGCTTATGAAACACAGCTGTGAAATAGCCTGGCAGTATGTATTCAGATACTGAGGAACAGCAAACTGCTGTTTCAGTTTCTGTGTTAGGTGGTGGCATTCATCATTTGTGCTGGTCTTTTCCTTTTTGCCTATATTCTAACTTAGAAAAGTACTATTTTTTTCAGAATTCAGGTGATCACTGATTATCACTGATCACAAGCCATTTGTTTACAGTCAAGCTGACTTTTCAAAAACAAAGTAACCATCTAGCATACCTATCTTCTGCTTCTCAGACAACAGTACTGAATTGGTCCCCTCAAAGCTCAGCATTTTTTATGGCACATATTTACATTGTTCCAATTTGCCTACACTTAAATATTTTCTAATTGTGTTTCTGTATAAAACTACTCTCAGAGCTGACAAAAGTAACTGCTTTGAACTAGATCTATTAACAGGCATTTGGTTCAGTAATTCCCCTGTAAATACACAGAATTGTAACACAGACAGGAAGGGTAGGTAGAGGGGCTGAAGGTAAACCTGTACAGCTGCTACCAGACATGACTGTATACATATGTGACTGTAATGTGGATTGTCATACTCAGAGTTTAATCCAACCAGCTCAGGTAACATTCACAGGATGATTTTAGTTCTAGCACACACCAGACAGCTATGTGATGTCTTGTTTATCTGATGCTGAAGTTCTTGTCCCTGTGTCTCTGTTAACTGTTGTTATCCAATCTACATAGCTCAGGCATGGCTACCCACACTGCCAAACATAACCCTAGTTTGTGAGATGTACTCTTAAATGGTCTTGTCAAGAACTGCCCTACATTCAAAGGGCTGTGAAGGCTTATTGGGACTGTTTTTTCTTGATTACTTTTATGGAGTACTTATTCCATAAAGTGCTGAGGACAGCAGATCATCTGAGAGTGGCAGCTGCTACTGCATATTTTGATGAAAGCCTAAAAATGAGATTTCAGAGCTGTGTGGCTGTACCAAGAGAAGCTCCACCTATTTGATGTGCATGGTTGATACTGTGTTTGGGTTACATGCCACATTTATAGAAACCAAACAGTCCTCCTATCAGAATGCATAATTTCTAATAGAAAAAAAGTCGTAGCTCTAACTCTTAAGATAAGGTGTTTGCCATTAGATTAGTATACTCTGTTATTCATAGAATATACGTACAGCTTTGTATGTCACATATTGTGTAAATATTTGAGAAGTTTTAAGGCTTTCAGGATCAGTTATTCTGATTTACAGCTGATCACAGTTACATCCCCACCCCTTTCCAAACTAGCCCGGGTGTGCAGTGTAGACATAAGTGTATGTAGACACAGCTCTAGGCTCCCCTCCAGGCACCCTTGTGCCACATTAGCAGGACAGCTTGAAGGTAAAAAAAACTAAGACACTTCAGGCTTTCCTTTCCCTATGTGCCTACTATATCCAGATGCTCTGGTTACAGTTTCTGTTAAAATACATAAGGTATCCTTAAGCTACTAATATTTGCAGAACAATCGTGGCACTGTGGGACTTTATACTGCTCCAGCTCCACACCCAGCTCATTTTACTGATTCAAAATTTGCATTGGTGGGTCTCTGCAAGATTCACTGGTATTGTATGGACTGAAGCCTAGAAAGCTTTTAGAATTGTAAAACTAATAATCTGCCTACAAAACAGTTCTGTTGAGCGATCATTCAACTCTGAGCTCTTAAGACACTCAGTCCAAGAACTTGTGACATTCCCAGTGGAGTTTTTCATAATCTGCAAAAACGTTTAAGGCTGCGTGAAGAAGAAAAACTCTAGCATTTATTTTGCAGGGGCTACTGTATGTTTTACAAACCTCTTTGCTGCTACAGTTCCCTGCTGTAAAACTTAAGTTACATCCAGTTAAAGCAGTGTGAATTCCCTGATCCTGGTCTTGCAAATGTAAATGTAGTCAATATGCATCAGGTCTTTAAGAGGAAGAAAAGGTGCACAAAAAAGGAGATTGCTGATCAGAAAATCTCTGGGAAGACACAATTACGAACACAGCAACATGAAAATGGAAACACATTTTAAAAACACTGTTGAGGTGTTTAACTCTGGTCTCTCAACTACATGCAAAAAAATTACCATTTTTTTAGATGAGTAAAGTGGAGTCCACTTTAGAATGGCTTTGAAAAAATATAACAAGAGAAGTAAAATTCAGTTAGAGCCACTCCTACAAAGTACTGATTTAATTAGAAGGCAATGAAGACTTTTAATATTTCACTGGAAGTGTCTAATGGAAGTAAAACCTTATTGCCTTATCAGCAGGGACTGAATTTTGGACAACTCCAAAAGCTTGTAATCAAGTCTAGTGGGCACAAGATCAAACCATGTGCATATATTTAATCCTGAATTTACCTTATATGCATAGAAGCAAACTGGTTTTGCCCACAAGTCAGTAAAATAATAAATACAGCTGAACAATGGCTGGCCAGATTTTGTGTCTTCACTACAATATACATGAAGAAAATCATCCCTGTTTTCTACTTTGTGTGAACAAATATGATTACAATCTGAATTTACAGTAGGGGATTTTGTGTTAAATATTTATCTGAATTGTTGCTTTCTCCATTGTTACTGATCTTACTGCATAATTTATCAGTGACCTGCTAGGTCATGTTGAGTAGAGCTTTCAATCCATTCTAATGTGGATAATGAGAAATCGCAAGCTCTTAAGAGATGAGTTAGCCAGGAGGAGTTACCCTCAGGCACCGTGCTGCTGAGGCAATACAAATACTTACACAAATATAAAAGAACCAAAGGTACAGACCAGGGGAATAAATATTAGGAAATCTGTTTGCTTGTTTTAAATGTAACTATAAACATAAGAATTTTATGTTTCTTAGAAAAACAACAGACAAAAAAGAGTGTAAGTTCAGTTAAAACTCTTGATAAGACAAATATTTGATGTCTGCTTTAAATAAAGCAAAAGGATTCAAAACTATGAAAATGCTTGAGTATTTATGTATCCTAAAAGCTAGGCCATCCACACTCGCCCAAAACTTACACTATTACATTTTCCAGTGACCAAAAAGGTTCTTCTCTATTCATTTTCTCCAGCTAACATCTGCCTTGCCTTGCTTTGTTCAGGACCACAGATGTAATGACATACAGTTGAAATAACACAATAAAACTTTACTGCCTAACTTCAGCAGGCAAAACAGAAGAAGTAGAATTTTTTTTTTCTTTTTCAGCTGTAATTTCAAAGGTAGGTATAATGCTCAGAATTATCAAAATCTTAACTTTTTTAATGAAGAGAAATGAATACAGGACTGGATCCTTGTGTAAGTGCTCTATAACTGAACAGAAGCTATTTTACAAGCAGTAATTCTTTAGGTGATTACTTGGCAACAGGCTAATTTGTTTTTATTTTAAGAACCACAAGAATGCAGCTTCCTTTTTGATGGAGAGTGACCGGCTGATCAATAGTCTTCCCCAAGTGAAATGGACAGAGGCAGCTGTGGCCTTGGCATCTAGGCTACAAGAAGAATGTGTAATGTTTATTGTGGCAAACTTCCTGCATGTAGTAAGAAGTGAAGGCTTCTCTGTTTTGTTGCAGGTAAAAGTGCCCTCAAGTTATTGTCTGCTTCCAAGTAAACAATTATGTCACACTCTGAATACTTCAGGCTGCTAAATAATCAAAATAGTTTCAATTTTTGCTTTAAAGAACAATTCTGTGGAAGATTTAAAAAAAATAGAAATTAAGCAGTGCTGTGTTTTTTTGGAGGTGGTGATTTCTTCAGTGTTATTTTAAAGCTTATTAATACTTGGATGTGCAGGGTTGATTTTTGTGGTTTTGTTGTTCATTTTTGTGTTGCAAAGAGGTAAGTAGATACATAAGCTTTGCAAAAGCTTTTGGGTGGCTACAACAACAGTGTGTACCTATGAATATTAGTTAACTCAAACTTCAACTGATTTTTGTTGCAATTTGCAAGAATGGGGCAATGCATCAGGTCTGAGTGAGAACATACCTAGTAGTCTAACCTGGTTCATGTCTCCCATGGAAGATTTTTCTAATATGTATAGAGGATTAAAAAAAGTAATGGGCAGATGTTACAACATTTTGTCTTTGAATGAAGAATTGATCAGTGTGCTTGTTCCTAAAATTTAGGTTAGTGAGGTCTGGAATAGCTCCTGCTGAGTGTGACAGCAGATCTTCTCTGCTTAGCAATGCTTCTGTATACAGAGTGCACTCTTTTGTTTTAAACTGCTGCCTTTTGTTCTTCCCTCAGGCGCAAGCAATGAGCAGCAAACCTGACCTTCTAGAACTAATTTTAAATGCAGTTGAAAAAAGTATTAATAATGAAAATAGCTGCTTTCTTCTTGTAGCTGTGGATACATTGTTGGACTCCACAAATGTCAAGGAGATGGTAGGTTTCTCAATGTACAGTGTTTTAGGAAAAACTATTCTGGTATTGTTTCGTGTAATGGCTCAAGTCAGAGGATGTGGTTTGAGCTCAGGTGGCTCAATCCTGCAGCTGTGGTCATGCAGAAATATATCTGCACAAATCCAAGGTCCTGCTGGAAGTGCAGAAAACATTAGCCTTTGTTTACTGGGTGTTAATACTTTTTTCTTTTGAAGATAAACCAAGAGAAACCTATGATAATTAAAAAACAAGTGTATTATTGAGAAGCAGCAGCATCACTGCTCTGTTGTTCTCTACTATCACTTTAAATTTGTGATGGGGAAAAAAACTTGGAAAAATGTTACATTAGCTTGAACCTACAGGTGAAGAAAGCTTATTTTTCTCTCCATGTATCTTTTTCCCCATTTCTTTTTTGTAAAAGTCACATCACAGCTACATTTGCTTTTGTTTAACACTGTCCTCTGAAGCAAGGACTGCCTCTAGTGTGTTTTTTTTTGGGACTGGGGGGAGGTGTCAGTCTTCATGTTTCAATCATGCCATGTATATTCATGCAGTCAAAATAATTACATTTAAGCTCTGATTGACAGTAATGCTGGGGATAATTAATGAATTATATGATATACTGATTAAAATCAAGAATGATGCTACAAGCAAAGAATGAAAAATAAATGCAGAATAAATTACTGCAATCTGGTTCTATTGTAGATCTTCTTGGTAAAAGCAATGACAATTTAATCAGATACATTATTTTTCCCTAGAGTATTTGACCTTGTTGTGACACAGATGACAGTAAAGAGCTATTATGGGGTGCATCTGGGGAGAAAAAAAAAAAAAAGGGAGAGGGGGGAAAAAACCAAGAATGTGGTATTTTCTAGTACTGTGCCTTGGAGTGACTTGGTTTTAAAGAACTGTAAAAATTACTGTGGTGGGCAATAACGCTTCAAAAGCAGCATCTCCATCTACCAGGCCATTATAAAATGTAAGTGATGACATCATTGATCTAGCTTAGGGAGTAAGTAGATTCTGAAAGGAATAATGACTGGTTGCTATGACAATATGCCCCTCGCCAGCTGCTGATTTGTTACTTGAACACAGGGTTTTACGTGCAGGATCCAGGCTCTGCGTAGTAAGCTCTGGGTCTTCCTGGTTCAGTCTTTTTATGCTGTTCGTCACACAGAAGGCTGGAAGCTGATGAGGACAGACCATCAACAGAAAATACAAGCAGGTATGTCTGACATCAAATGGCATTGGCATGTTTTAGTAATCTCTTCAGTAGATAAAAATGTAGGTGGTAGTGTGGAGTCAGATAAAAATTAAAGCACAATTTGTAATCCTCTGTGTTTTTGAAGTGGTATTTTAGAATAGAAGCATGACAGCATGCTTAGCTAGTTTCAAACATGGAAAGCAGTGCATCATTTTCTGTGAAAAGTCAACCCTACTTTTCTTTTTAGGGGTGTGTATAATAGGAACCATAAGGAACTATGTAGATGGATTCTATTTACAGCTATTCTGAATTACTGAAAATACTGCAGTAGGATTAAAAATCTCATCTGTCTCATATTTAAGGATAAGCACCATGAATTAATTAAATGTGCACAAAGCAGATTATCCACTCTATGAACTCATTTTCTACCTTCTATCGCTGTCTACATACTGTATAAATATTGCTTGTCTCTTGCATAATGCTGATCTTGTGCACTGTGAGTAAATGCAGATAGACTTCACAGTTGATTGGTATTGTGATATTGTGTGTGCTGCTGTAGAGAGCCCCTAAGAAGCTGCATAGTGTTCTTTCAACATTTTAGCAGGCAGCACTTCTAACAAAAAGGAGTTCTTCTTCTGACCATTTCTTTGTTTTGAAGTACATAATTATTCTGAGGGTGCGGAACTGATGATGGAGGTTGGGTTATGGTTGAATATTAGCTTTGACAGTACAGTGTTCTAAAAGAAAAGAATGCGTTGAAGACTTGTCTGAAATCAAATCACTTTTGATTCAAAGGAGAAATAAAGATTTTGGTGTCCTTGTTAAAGACATCAGTAACTAGGATATGATAGTTATAAAATTTTTTACACCTATAGATAGATGAAAGTTTTATTCTACAATTACAGGCTAAGAGAAAGGCAGTGACAGTCTTTCTAGGCATGATTTAGGGCTGCAAATAACATCTCACTGCTAATGTATAGAATAGGTTTATGATTTCTTTCTGGATTATGAAATCCTGCAGAAGCTGAAGAGCTGCCTTTAGAAACAAGGGTGGTTTTTAAGTTGTTGTTGGTTTTTTTTTTTGTGGTTTATTTTTAGGATAATTGTGTCATTAACGTAAATAATGTTTAGGCTGCTTTGCCTAAAATTTAGACAGAGATGGGCATTACTTGTCCAAACTCCCATCTTGCCCAGAATTATTTTCTTTTAGATGAAATTGTAACTCAAAGTTAGCATACATTTTTTTCTATGTAAACAGACAGGCTGACATGCTTGCATTAATTATCCTTTTTTAATTACAGGAAAAGTGATTATACTTGGACAATTTTTAGACAGATTTTAATCTTAAAGTGAAATATGTCTAGGATAACTTAAATCAACTTTCATCTTAAAGATTTCTGGTTTATTTTCTAGAAATTTAACCTATATAGAATTAGAAGGTTGTAACAGAGGAGGAAAAACACTAAAAGAAGACAGATGATATTGTGGGGGTTTTTATTCGCAGCATGTCTTGTGCTTTCTTAGGCACAAGTTTATCTGGCTTTGTCTTAATATATTGCTATGTATTAATGTGCAGAGTCATTGCTAGAAAAAGGATTAGATCCCTGGGGTGCCATTTTCAGCATACCTTTTGTGTGATTTTTTTTTTTAAAGACATGTAAGATTTTTACTATCCTCAAAAAGAATTGAGCAGAATTTTTGTTTGTATTATACAGGGATAAATTGTTTTGTATGTCAGAACATGAGGCACTGAATGCTTAAATTTTGCAAAACCTTTTATCATGTGAAACAATACAAACAAAAATGAAACCTTATTGATTCAGGGTCTGTACAGTGTCTATAAATATCCCTTTGTATTCTGCAAGCACAGTTGATTTAAAGCCATTATTGAAAAATGCTTCCCTCCCAGAGTAGACCAGTCAGAAAAAAAGCCATTCACTGCATGAAAATTCCACATGACAATCACAGGGATAACTCTCATGACATTATGGTGCATGCTATCTAAAGAGGAATTAATGATCTTACTTTGTACAGTTAGATATTTTTACTTTGTCACTTTTGAAAACTGATGTAATTTACTTGAATGTAATTAATCTCTTCTTTAACTAATACAATATTCTATAAATTACAGTACATCACTTAAGTCATTAGTATTCTAAATTTGAAGGTCTCTCTTTTTGATAATTTGAATACACTTTCAAAGGTCTCAGTGCCCAACAAGCTTGAAGTGAGCTAAGAGCGGATAAACGAAGTGTCTTACTATGGAAGTGGGGAAACAGAAAAGTTGCCTTGTTTATGGCCATGTCACTTAATTACAGATACCACATTTTTTGTTCTGGATATGAAACCATCTGCCATGTCATCAAAATTAGCCTTCCTGTAATTACTAGAGGATGCAGAGAACTGCTTAAAAAATTATGTGAATTGAGTGGTCTGGGTTGTTTTCTGTCTCCCTTCTTTCCTGCTAAATTGTCAAGAAACTGCTTGTTCCTTTTACAGCTGCATTTGACAAGGGTGATGACCGAAGACTTGGCAAAAAACCTGTATTCACTAGTTCTCAGGTAAACATTTCTATCCAAACATTAAAAATACTCAGGAGCTTGCAAACAAAACTATTTTCATCATGTATTTTAAATTAAATATTAATTTGTTATTTAATGGAACTTGTGTTTTTTTGTTTGTTTGTTTGTTTTGTGTGAACTGTTATTTCTGCAGAATCAGTTAAGTCCATTGCTGGAAATATCTTAGGAGTCAGCCTATGCTCTGCTACATTTTCAAACAGATAAGCTCAAATAAAAGACAGGAATCTGTGTTCAGAATCACACATTCCCCTGTTGCTATGTAATGAAACTGTTTTTTCTCCCAGAGCAAATGGTTTGCTACTGAGCTAATGAATCTCTGCCATTATCATAAGTCGCCACAGCACTGAGTCTGTTACACTCCCTGCCCTGGAAAAATGGTTTTTAGTGTCCTCAGCAACTCTTCCATTGGGACTCAGACTCAAAACTACATTACTATTTGGTAGATAAACAGTATAGGTTTCACATGATCTGATGGTCTTGGATACATTGTAATGACAGTGGTATCACAAAGATTCCATTTCATGCACTTCATTCTCCATGTTTCAATATGTATCTTTTTCTGAGAGAGAGAATGAATACTTTCACTTATCTGGTGGATACACTGTTGGTAATGGTTAAAACATCACATGTATTATAAGCTAATTTTTCCTTTTATGCTTGTAATAATTCATAGGCTTTGGAATAAATGCATAGAACTTGAAGGAAGTTTTCTTAATTCAGCAGATGTCAATAACATTAGAGTAACTTGTCCAAAGTAAAAGTTAAACCCTACCTAAATATTTCTGTATCTTTTGTACAGAGCACTACTTCACATGGACAGTTACTACACCCTCTACTTATTTCTGGTACCAACAATCTGAGCAAAAATATAATTTAAAAAATATATTTATATGCTGAATCTTGTTGGTTTAGTTTCATGGAGTACTTAAAAAGTAGCTGTGTTTCAGAAATGAAATATTATGGATAGGTTGGTTTTATAAATGCTTTCTGTTTTGTTGTTTTGTTGTTTTTTTTCTGATGCCTTTTTTCCCAGCTAAAGAAATCTATTACTGAAACTACTGGTATAAGGAATACTTTCCAGACGGAACACAGCAAGAAAGATTGCTGGGGAGATTCTTCCACTAATCAGGATAAAATGAAATCTGATGGATTAGGAGCATCTGGACATACATCAAGCACCAACAGAAGCACTGTTAATAAGGCTGCAAAGCATGAGGATGTAAAGGGGAAAGATGGCAAAAAAATAGTTTCCAAGATTGCGAAGGATTCAAAACCTGGTGAAAAAGCTGCATCACCAAAGGCTAGAGCTGTTATAAAGACAAAACCAGAAAATAACGGACATGTGAAGGTTGAAAGCTTGCTTACCAAGCAAGATATAGAGAAGACATCACCTTCAAGTGGACAAAAAAATTCAGGAAGTGGCAAAGGACTAAAGAACCATGAAGGAAAAATTGCAGGTGCCAGACCTAAAGTGCTGACAGTAACCTCAACTGTGCAGATCAAAACAAAACCATTGAAAAAAAACACAGGGAAGGAATCTCCCTCCTTAGTGACTGTGGCAGGAACTTCCAGCAAGTTAGCAAACTCAGGCATAGATATCCAGCCTGCCAGTGAACAGACAGAGGAAGCCAAAGAGGATAAACTAGTAGAGGAAGGGAAAAAACAGACTGGTAATTTTTTGTTTGTTGTTTTTTTCCCCTAGAAGTCCCCTTCTGGCTTTTCCCTGGCTGGTCTTACACTGAAAACCAGCCTGGAAAGCTGAAAATATATATATATATATATATATATACACACTATAGATTGATAAGTCACCTTCTTTCCCTGTAAGTTAATATTAAGAATATTATATTTGTCCTCTCTTAACTGACTTCATTTTATGATTGACTGATAACTATATCAAATGGTAAATGTTCCACAAATTCAGCATCTATACCATTTTCAATAGCTGATCTTAATATATTAGATTTTTTCAGTACTTAATATATTAACTTTGAATTTAATTACAATAGTGAAAACAAAGTCATCTGTGAAGACATCAAATGGGATCACCAACAAAAAAAGGACTGAGCTTGAGGCTAATATCACAACAAGCAGGTATGTTACAAATCAATATGCTGCTTACATATATGTGTGTGTGAAAAAAATTCAGGTGAACTATTAAACTTACTGTTAAGTCAACTTGTTCTTTTTCATCTGAGAGTGGTTCTCTATTGCATGTTATTAGAAAACCAAACTGAATTAGCTATTGGAAACATTGCTGTAACAATAACATTGGTTTGGCTTTTTTGTGTTGGATTGTTTCATGCTAATAATTTTTAAATTGTTATAGGTCATTCAGAATTCTGCACAGTGGAACACTTAATGTCTACAAAAGGTGTTGTAAACTTACTGTTTCTGGCATAGCTTAGATTAAACTGGACAAGAAGACAGCTGAAGCACTGCTTAATTGTGAAGCTGGTTGTTTGTGTGTGTATATATATAAATATATATACACATGTATTTTATTTTCAAATAATACCTTTTAGGTGGCATTTTCAATGTCTATACCTGCGTGCATATTAAAATATAAATGTTACTGGATCTTAAGCTTGGAAATAATGGATGCAATAATTTCTTTGTAGTGTAACAAAAAAATCAACTGGAAAAGGATGTAATGAACAAAATGCACAAGCTGTTACAAAGAAAAAAGGGAATGTGAGTAGCAATTCTGCAGCACAGCAAAAGGCTCAAAACACACCTACCAATTCTCCCAAGAATCAAGGTAAAGTTTCATACACCAATGAAACAGTTTGCCAATATTATGCAAAGCTTTGTCTTTTTTTTTGTTGTTTTTTGTTTTGTTTTTTTTAGCATAAGCATGTGGCAAAATCTTAAAAATTCTGTTTATTCTCCATATTTCAATTTTGGTGACAATCCTAAACTGTAAAATGCAAATGAATGTGTGTCAACTTCAAAACATTTACAAGATGGTCTCCACTGTCAATCGGTCTTTTCTTCTGCTTTTTTAATCTGCTTCACAGTCTTTTATTTGCCAATCCCCTGCATTTCTGCAGTTGCAACCATGACAGAGTGCAACAGAAATTCTGCAGGTCAAGCATTTATAATATGCATCAAAAACCTGGACTGCAGACTTCTTCAGAAGCTGTTAGTTTGCCTCCCTTTTTTGGTCATCCCCTCTGGAGGCAGCACTACTGACACTGACCTACACCACAAACACTTGATTTCAATAGCTGTTTATATTAAATGCGGGAAATGCCATTGTAGACTACAGAGAGGAAACTCTGCTTTATGAAGATACAGTGTTAATGATGGAGCTCTTTTTAATCTTGTTTGGGGTTGGCATTTACTGGGGAGGGAAGAATATTCAAGTTGTATTCTCCAAAATAGATTATGATATAGAAAACACAGGTCCTGTCAATTTGTGGTAATTAAAGATCTTGTAGTATTTTCTGGCAGAGCGGGGATATTAATTCTGGTATCCTAATCACATTAAAACTAATATAATTATTTCCTGCCTACTTTCATTTCCTCTACACTATAAATTGAACACAGTACATATCACTTCCTGTGCTAAGCTGCTGTGCAGTGTTTCTGTGCCCTGTTAGAGTTCTGCTGCAGTGATGACTACTTCAGTTAGAGCTTGAAGTAATTCCTTGATGTACAGTCTATCCAGTGCTTTTGATTTGAAGATATCATGTAAATGAAAGATGTTATTTTTGTCTAGTATTTGTTTAATATCTCAATCCTTAATTATCAAGCCTTAAATCATATAGTTATATAAAAAGTTAACTGCTTCTCAACATAAACAAAATTTGGTGAATATTCTTTGACATGTACGATCCTTATAGTATTTTTTTTTCTCCTGTTTATTAGGACCTCAAGGGGAATCACCAAATTCCCTGAAATCAGGCATGTCTCCAAAACATAACGAAGAAAAAAATGTGTTACAACATCTGGTTCAGACAACGTTACCAGAAAAACATCCTTCAGCCAAGAAGAAGAGCATTAAGCAGCCACAAACACCTGTAGCAAAAGTAACTGCAAAAATAACACCTAAAACTCCATCAAAGCACACTGAGATTATGAATAGTAAAGACTCAAAACTGAAAACACCAGGACAACCTGTATTAAAATCTCAGTCATCTGCCCAAAAACATTCAAGGAGTGAATCTCCTGTTGTCCAGAAGAATGCACATGCCTCTGAGCGGAGAAGTTCAGGACAGAAAGTGGAAAAAAACATGGGTGATGCTGTGGCAGGTCAGCCTCATGACAATAATCAATACTATTCTCCAAAGCAAAACGAATCTTTAAAATCTGTGATGGAAAGTAGCAATGAAGATAAACTGCTGGCATCTTGTCAACCCAATAAACAAAAACTATCAGATCCTTCTGAAAATGTGGAATGCAAAATAAAATCTGAATCTTCTCTAATTACAAAAGAGACTGTTTCTAAACTGCACAGTTCACTGCAAAATGAAATGGAAGCAAAACAAATCTGTGGTGATCAGACTGGAATTAAAAATATTGAAGAGACAGAGAAAGATGGTAATACAGCTGCATTTCACTGCCATGCACAGTCTTCCAGTGATGGATATTCTGACTTTACCAAGGAATCCAATCAAGAGGCTACTGCTTCAGAACTGGTGAAACATTCAAAAGCAGAAGTCTGTACTGACCAAAGTGGTAAATTAAACTGTGAAACAGGTCTTAACTACAGCAAAAATGCTTTGCCAAACTTTTCCCAAATGATTACTGATAAAGAGGATGAGATGTCATCACCTCAGAGTCATATGGAGGGGTTTCTTACAGCTGCTGAGCTGACTGAATACAAATCAGTTACAGCAGATTTAGATGATGTTTCAGAATGCTCCACAGAACAAATAACAGAAAAATATTCACCTAGTTACACAGAGCCTATAGATCCTACAGAAATGCCTGAAAACCATGAAAATGCAGAAATTCCCTTTGTGGATCACTGGAATACTGCTGCACTAGACCCAAAAGAGAGTCCTGAATCAGATACTGGCAGTGCAACGACATCCTCTGATGATATAAAACCAAGATCAGAAGATTATGATGCTGGAGGCTCTCAGGATGATGAAGGATCCAATGAAAGAGGGATTTCTAAATGCAGCACGATGTTATGCCATGATTTTCTTGGAAGAAGCAGCAGTGACACAAGTACACCTGAGGAATTAAAAATTTATGACAGCAGCCTAAAAATAGAAGTGAAAATGAAAAAAGAGGGTTCTGATCTCTTCCGTGTTAATTCAACGAGTGATGATGAAATACCAAGAAAAAGACCTGAAATTTGGTCTCATCAAGGAAGTGCAAGGACCAATACTAGAGAAAGCAAATGTTCTACTTTTGGCAATTCACAGTTTACTCAGGAAACAGACCAAGTTTCTTCTTCTGCTGATGAAACAGAAGATGACAGATCTGAAGCAGATAATGTTGCAGAAAACTTTACTGTATCAAATGCTCCTACTCAACAGTTCCAAGGAATTGATAATTTGGCTTTTGAGGATGCAACAGAAAATGATGCAAGTCAAGGGTTTACTAAAAGTAAAAATTTCAAACGAACTGTTTTACTTTCAGTAGATGAATGTGAAGAATTGGGATCTGACGATAGAGCAGAAACTCATACTTCACGACAGCGTTCAATAGATTCCCTTACTCCTTCAGAAGTATTTGACAGTGTTTCTCAAGAGCATCATGAAAAACCTTTTTATTCAAGATACTCACTGGAAATGGAAGATGGGTTTCTGGATTGCAAACAGCAAAAGGACAGAGACAATAGATTGGATAAAAGTGGAAGTTCTCTCCTACACCTTCATGACACTGAAATTGCAGGGGAAGAGAATCAAGATGCTTCAATGACTGAAAAAAATTGTCCAGAGAAAGTATATTCAGCAGCTACTCTGTGTCCAGGGGAAAAACAAAAAGTAAATAAGAATGAGATGGCTAATGAATTTCACCAGTGCAATAAGTACTTAGACAGTGATGCAAAATCTCAAGAAAGACCATGTCATTTGGATCTTCATCAGAGAGAAACTACTTCTGATGTGCAAAAGAGCAGCTCTGCAAAACCTGTAGAAGCCAGTAAGAATCAGATACTGACTCAGGAAGGTCAAGTGAGAGACAGTCAACCAGCAACTACTGAATGCGCTAATACTGATTTACTTCCAGGTAATGTACAGAAATAGAAACATTCATTCAAAAACAAATTAATAAGGAAAGCTTTAACAGTCTGTCTAGGATTTAATCCTGAACTGAAGTAATTTTGGCTGAAACTATATTAAATTTAAATTTTTTCAGTATTTTACTTGGGTAGAGAATGCTTGTCTGTTTGAAATATCCGTCAAGACCCTGCTGTTTAATGAGAAACTTGACTACAAGACAAGAGGTTTTACATAATGCTAAAAGAAAGATTGGATGCAGTTGTCTGCACGTCAGTTATTTTTGATCCAATCTAACATTGACAGCATCAGCTTTGGATGGAATTTTAATATTTGTTCTGTCTGCTTGACAACATATAGTATGTCTGAATGGGATGTGCAATAACTGCAGTAATAACTTGAACTGAACTGTTTACCTGAACAGCTATATGCATTATTGTTGTAATTTATTTATTTATATATTATACACAAATTTGGATCCTTCTACCACTGAATATAACTGAGTATTTGCCATATACATCAGTGGGAGCAGGTCTGAACTCTGACTTAGAGCTTATGAGATGTCTAAAATTCTAAACTTTACCAGTAAAAGCTTATTTAGTAAAGGAGAGATTATACTTAGAACTAATGCTTATATACAGAAAATTGCTAACTTGTTTCATGTAGCTAGATGAATACTTGTCTAGTTCTGTGTTTTGTCTTCCTTATACCAATAATTCAGTCTCTTTTTTCCCATAAAAATATACAATAGTGTTGATTACAACTATTGTGTATTCTAGAGTAATGACATGCTGATTATGATCTATGTTCAGCCAGACCACTGAACAAGAAGACACTAAATCTGTACTACTTCTTTTGTTTGCTTGCCCTTGCCTGCAGCTGCCTGTGCATGTGCAGTGTAGAAATAAGTCTGTGGATAAACAATTTTGGTTTAAATTATCTTATAATCTGACACAGCTTAAGTCACCATTCAGTAATCATTCTCTATTAATCCCCTCCATGCACCTCCTGGTCTAAACTTAATTTATGTAGTAAATGAGAAATTTTGTGTACATTAATTGTATATTTACATTGTCATTTTCTGTATCAGAAACTTAATTATGGAGGTTATTGTTAATTACGGAGGTTACTGTTAATTACCAGTGGTGATTGCTGCTTTAACTTAATTTATAAATCCTAGTTTGTTTTTTATACAGGAAATAAATGCCTCAAATTTTGTCAATTTTGTATAACCCTCCATTTCCCCTTTTTTAACCTGGTTGGATTCTTTCCTGAATGAGTTAAATTTTGCTCTACACAGCCCTGAGGGGAAGATCATCTGCAATTTTTTACATTGTACAGTATTGTGAATTATTTCAGGAGACATAGATGATTATGACACAATGGCACAAACCTGCATGTATGAACATCGGCCTTCAAAAACCCTTTCTCCAATATACGAGATGGATGTTGGAGAAGCAATTGAGCAGAGGATGGATTCAGAAACAGCAGTTCTAGATGTGGATTTTGAAGATCAGCAGTTTGCAGAACAGGACTGGACTCTTCTCAGGCAATTGTTATCTGAGCAGGACTCAAATATAGGTTTCAAAAACTCTGTTCCTGAAGACCTTAACTTAGCACAATGTCTTATCAATCAGACACTGTTTCTGGCACGAGATGGTTCGAATCCTCAGGGTACATCACAAATTGACACATTCAGTAGGTGGACTGAACTCATGTCTCCACTTGATGATTCTTCAGCAAGCATTACAGTGGCAAGCTTTTCATCTGAAGACTGTTCATCCCCTCATGGGGAGTGGACAATTCTTGAACTGGAAACCCATCATTAAGGTGATCAAATGTTTGCAACTGAATTCCAACCCATCCCCCAAATCTATTTTTGATGAGTTGTTTCCATACAGTAATAAAATACTGCATCACTCAAGAACAAGCAATTCTTGATACTGAGGCAATCTTTCTGATACAATGAGGTAAATATGTTCATTTATAATTTAGATTTAATCACAAGTACAATAATTTTTCAAGGCTTAAATGTATGTCTTTTTTAAAAATGAACTCTTAGCATGTATTTTCTAGAATTGTTAGAAAAATCAGATTAAATGAAAGAAAAATCTTGGTTTCCACCCTCCCTTTTATCTTCCTTTCTGATACTTAATATTCTTATTGAGTAAGATTTTAAAGGTGATTGCACAATTAGTAGAGCTATTCCCTTCCTTTTTTTTCCCCTGTCTATATGGTGACTTCATTTTACAACAATAAAGATTCAGAATGCTTGTGTCAAAAGGTGATGCATGCAAATGCTGCTTGAAATGACAGACACATATACTTATGGTCAAAGAAAATGTTTCAATATGAATCTGTCTTGGGCTTTATTAACTCAAGAGTAGCTTCTTTAATCTGTTTCTTCCAGATTTTATTTTTGTATTTTTCATTTGTTTTGTTTAGAAGTTTCCAATAAATTTTTCAAATTGTCTTTAAGAATTGAGAGGGTCTGTGCTATAGCAAAAGCACTGTCTCTTTCTTGGAACTGCACATAATTAAGTAAATATTTTTAATGGCATAGTGCATAAATTCAGAGGAGGCAGCAGAATACTGCCCCTGTTATAAAAAACACTATGTCTGATGTTTTGGTTAGTGTTACATCAGAAGTCTGACATTGACTAGAATTGCCTTCAGGCTTCAAGTCATTACACTTGCATACTTCTGACACTGAGGCATAGCAGGATCCTCAGGAATTTGGTTTTGTTTGTTCTCATAGATGCTGCATTTTTTGAGGGGTAAGAGGATTCTTTCATGTAGTATAGCTTTTATATTGAGACTAAATGTCAACATAAACATTCTTCTGACTAAGAGCGAAATAGGATCGGCTTCTCAGTACTGCTCATTTTGCTGCTTTTGGCTATTAATTTGGGGGTGTGGACAGGACTGTATTGCCTTTTCTAATTTGATGGAGGAAGAAGGAAGGAAGAAACTATTTGTAATTCTTAGCCACTCAGAACTCATCCTGAAACTGAGGGGTTTTTCCCTGCTAAGAACTCTGCATTATGGAAATATTAGGACTTGTCTTTCACACAGCTTAAAATCTATACAGAAGTATTCTACCTCCTCTTAGTCATTAACAGAAGTGCCTTCAGACATGGTTGCTATATGGCAGTAAAAGGCCACTAAAATATTTTTGGTTAAACTATTTAAGATAAGTGCATGACATACTAGCTGTAACCACTGATACTATGGTCAGCTTTGCAAGCCTTTTCACAATTCCAACAATGCACCTTAATTTTCTTTAGAAACTTCTTTTCTTTTTGTTCTTAATCAGAAACTCTCAGTTGCATGGAAATACAGTTGCCCCAGCATATAACTAAAGTTATGAATTGTCTTATCTTTGGACTTGACATGATAAAGAGCTTTGAGGCAAATTCATTTATCTAGACAGCCACTCAGTTGAACTTCTGATACAGGAATAAAAGTCATGTTTTAATTTCCCCAAATTAAATGGAGGAATAATTTTATCTCATTATTTAATATTAAGGCAAGAAAAAAAAAGAGGAAAGCCTTCCTTTTTATGGCGATAAAAAAGGACACATGGAGGGAAGATGTGCAGTCTCATAATAAAACTTTCCCCTACTATTAGCTATTAGCAGCATAAATAGTCAGAGATACTATCATTCAAAATATTTAAAATGTAATATGCTGTATTTACCCCAGTTTTCATATTGAATGAGTTAGAACCTTTAAAAGTGCAAGATACCAAGAAAACCTGCTTTTCACCTTCAAGTTTCCAAGATATATCAACAGTGGATAATCTTTTGGACAAAAGGCAGAAAGAATGAGAACTCTGTTGACCTTGGTTAGTAGTCTCTTCTCCTTCAGGAGGATATTCAAAGTATTAGCCATAGTAATAGATTAAACTCTAGAGAAGCTCTTGCAGAAGGCTGACAAATGGTGTTTTCTCAGTTTATGTGTAAAAGACTACAAGTAGAATTTGCTTAAAATAGTTTAATCAACTTCAAAATCCTGGTGATACTGCTGCATTTCCTTTAATAGTTTTGCAGTAGGCCAGCAATTAGGATTTGGTATATTGTTCAGTTGGTACATATGCAGCCACAGAATTCGGATTCCCACAGCCAGTCTCGGTAGATGTAGCAGAAATAGAAAGTGGTATTTTTTTAAATTTGTGTTACCAGAGTGCCTGTGAGGCTTGATCAGATCAGCATCCCACTGGCTAGACATTGTACAAATACAGAACAAAAATGAGGACTTCCCACAGAGTGGTTATAATCCAAGTTAAAACAAAAGACAAAAAAAAACATTGAAAGGTCAAATGAGTGTGTCAATATTTGTCTAGCTGGTGGGCAATGGTTTCAGCACACCATCAATTTAAATACTGTCATTTTGTCATTCTTTATGCATTATAGGAAGGGGAAGTAAGGGGGTGAGATTTGGAGGCTGGATAATGAAGGATATATTCCTGAATAGCTGTCATCTAAACTCTGTTCCTATTTGACCCTGGTTAGTGGTTCCTCATCATTCACGAGGATATTCATGCTTTAAGTGTAGGTGGCTATCTGTTCTATACTATCTATTACTTGAGTTCTCTGAGTCCTGCTTGTGCCTCCTGACAGTGATTTTGCCACTGTGTTGGCTTCTTCTCTAAAACATGAGAGCATAGACTAAGGTTTGTTTGAAACTTTCATATACAAACAACCAAAACTAGTGTCATGGGCTCCAACTGAATTGTGATTAAGAGGTCCTGAATGACCTCTAAAGTAAAGACAAGATATGTACCTCTGTTGAAACAGTGCAAGGCCATCACCGAAGTAACAAAACAGATGGAATAGTCAAAATAATGTTTAAGAATTTACCTTTGTAAGCAGTGATTTGAATGAATAAAACCAGTAAAACTGCTTTATCACAGCCTGAGAAGAAAATGTTGCAGTCAACAGGAGTTACTGACAACTTACATGAAATTGTTATGTGAAGAGGTAAAGACGTCTGTATCCTACAGGAAGTAACAAATTTAGTGAGCTATCAGTGAAACTTAGAGGAGAGAGGACTTGGAAATCAAAGTTTAAGGTAATGACCCTGGTTTTACCTACCATGAATGACATGTGAAAGATAAGGACCAACATCCAATGTCTATGGATGTATTAGATTTAAAATAGGCTAGACCTCTAAAAGGTGATGTAAATAGGCACTTTTTTGCTTGAAAAATTAGATTCTAGTCTAGACTGGAGAAGCAGCTCTGTAGGATTTTCACATACAGATGCTAGTTAAATTAGTATTTGTGGAATAAATCACTAAGAGTCACGCTGTAGAGGGAAAAGAGAAGGAAATTGAGGCCCAAACACTTGGACTGCTACAGGAAACTGAGGAAAATTGAGATTATTCCAAATGATTTGCTAAAAACAACAATTAGGGAGGCAAATGAAATAAAGATGGTGACAGGAGACAAATGAAGATGATAGGATGTAAGGGAAAAAGCACAGTTGGCTTCATTGAAGATGGCCCACAAGACAGATGAGTATAAAGTAGAAGGTTTGAAGCTGGTTAAGAGCATGTTCATAAGGACTGATCACAGTGAGATACTGGCTTTCTCAGAGTGAAAGGCAGACTGATGCCAGTTTGGTGAAGTATGACAGAATTCCAGGAAGAAAACAGCTTAACCATTAAGAGACAGGCAACAGTTAGAAATCCACATCAGTTTATATATATTGATTTTGTTACTTAAAGGCATGAGATTACACTATATTTATAGAGTGTAGCAAAAGAAATTAAGAGACTAAGACCTAAAGTGAAGATTGGGAGAGATAAGGATGCATGAAATGAGATCAAGCAGTCTGGGCCGCTAAAACTGATCAGATAAGAACATAAAACAAACATCTGCATTTGTGGTAGGGATAGTGGAAAGGACACTCCACATATTAATTGTTTTTCTTGTACAAAACCTTACAGTAGAATCTAAGAATTACAGAAAAAGTGCAGAAAAATCAGAACTACAGAAAAACACAGGCTTGAATGGATCTGCAAAGGTCTCCAATCCAACCTCCTGCTCAAAAGCAGGGGTAACTTCAAAGTTAGATCAGGTTGCTAGGGCCATATCAAGGTCCCTGGCATATAAAATGGTAATAAAGTCAACAGAAGGGAACATGGGGCTCTTGGGAAATAGTTATTTGAGAAAAAAAATATTTTCATTATAATAAAACTACTTTTGGTATTGTTGGAAAAGATCAGTAATGAAATAGAAGAAACTTGGCTTGCTTATAAAATTTTAAGTTCTGGATTATATATGGTGGAACTGTGCATGTTTAATAATCTTAATCCTGGTTACTTTTTAAGTTTATAAATTAATTAAAAATCATAATGAGCTTTTGAGTTTGCAAATTGTATTATTATTTTGGAGGACCTAGTGGGCAAGAGAACTTCCCATGTTTCTCACACAAACACTGTCCATAGGATCTGTTCCACTAGCAGTCTATTCAGTTTCTTTCAGGGAAAATGTACCAAAAAAATTTAACACACCTGTTCCAGGTACAGATCGTAGGAGACTGTTTTAAAACTTTGAATATATCTTATTGCTATTTGGAAAATAATTAGTAGCATGCTCATTCTACTTTGCTCCAGAAAATCTAAACCCTTGCATGAAGGAACTAAGAATTGTTATTTTGTTGTTCATCTGTTGCTCAGAACCAAGACATTTAAGAACTCATTATTTTGCTTCTACTAATTTCAAGGTAAAACTCCTGTTGACCTAGGCTGAAGCAGGCTTAGGGCTTACCAGTATTAAATGCATGTACTAGAAATGCTATTTTTCCAGTATATCTATTTCCTA